TTCCCCTCCGCCCCCCTCAGAACCCCAGCCTGGCGAGCCGTCCCCTCCCCCTCCCAGAATACAGGCCTCGCGCTCCCACCCCTCCCCCATCAGAATTCAGGCCTCACGCTCCCTCCTGCCCCTCCTCCCCTAAACCTGGGCCCCAGCCCGCTAACGCGGCAGGTGGCCCTGAATTCTGGGCCAGCCCCAGGATCGCCCCAGATGGCTGCCCGGCCCTCCCTCACCATGGTGGCGGCTGGGATGGCTCGGATTCGCTTCGGATTCGCCTCAGCCGGGGCCTACAAACCGACGAGAACTCCAGTTCCCGCGCCCGCGGCCGGAAGTGAGCCCCTGGCAAAACGGTCCGGCTAAGGGAACTTCCGACTCGGCCTCCCGGCTTATGAGGCCCTTGTTCTTCACGTTCCATCACCATAGTCTTCTCAGGCACATTAGTTGTAATCACTCTCATTAATAAAACGCTTTACTGTTTATGAATCGCTTTCAACAACTTTGTGACATAGACAGTGCCAATATTATTATACCCACTTTACAGAATTAGAAACTGAGGCTTAGGTGAAGATATGCTCAGAATAATATAACTAGTAACCACCAGTTATCATGATCATGATCAATATCATCATCATCATCATCATCATCATCATCATCAACTGACATTTACATAGTGCTTTAAAGTTTGCAACATGCCTTACAAATATTCCACTTTATACTCACAACTCTGGGAGGTAGTGCTTTATTATCATTTTACAGTTGAGATTATCCTATTTTACAGCTGAGGAAACTGAGTCATAGAGAAGTGGAGTGACTTGTCCAGGGTTACACAGCTAGAAAGCTAGTAAGAATCTGAGTCAGAGGAGCAGCTAGGTGGCACAGTGGACAGAGCATGGCCCTGGAGTCAAGAGGACCTGAGTTCAAATGTGACCTCATACACATAACACTTACTAGCTGTGTGACTCTGGGCAAGTCACTTAACGCCAACTGCCTCACCAAAAAACAAAACAAAACATTTTTATTTAAAGTTTTGAGTTCCAAATTCTATCCCTCCCTCCCTCCCTCTTTCTCTCTGTGTGACAGTAAGCAATCAGATATAGGTTATACACATGCAATTATGTAAAACATTTCCTTTTTGTCATCTTATACAAGAAGAATCAAACAAAAAGGAAAAAATGAAAGAAAGTAAAAAAATTGCATGCTTCAGTCTGTTTTCAATCAATCAGTTCTTTCTCTGGAGACAGATAGTATGCTTCATCATTAGTTCGTTGGAATCATCTTAGATCATTGCATTGCTGAGAACAGCTAAGTCAGTTACAATTCTTCACTGAACAATGTTGCTATTACTGTGTACTATGTTCTACTGATTCTGTTCACTTCACTATGCATCCGTTCATGCAAGTCTTTCCAGGTTTTCCTGAAATTATCCTGCCTGCCATTTCTTATAACACAATAATATTCCATTACAATCATATAGTACAGCTTGTTTAGCCATTCCTCAATTGATGGGCATCCCCTTGATTTCCAATTCTTAACCACTACAAAAAAGAGTTGCTATAAATATTTTTGTACAAATAGGTCCTTTTCCCTTTTTTACATAATTGCATGTGTATAACCTATATCTGATTGCTTACTGTCACACAGAGAGAAAGAGGGAGGGAGGGAGGGATAGAATTTGGAACTCAAAACTTTAAATAAAAATGTTTTGTTTTGTTTTTTGGTGAGGCAGTTGGCGTTAAGTGACTTGCCCAGAGTCACACAGCTAGTAAGTGTTATGTGTATGAGGTCACATTTGAACTCAGGTCCTCTTGACTCCAGGGCCATGCTCTGTCCACTGTGCCACCTAGCTGCTCCTCTGACTCAGATTCTTACTAGCTTTCTAGCTGTGTAACCCTGGACAAGTCACTCCACTTCTCTATGACTCAGTTTCCTCAGCTGTAAAATAGAAACGACTATTTTACGGAAAACTCACATAAGGCAAGCTCTTACATGGAGGTCAGAAGACGAGGTACAAGGACACTTTCAAGGTCTCTCTGAAGAACTTTGGTATCGATTGTGAGAAACACTGGTACAGGACTGCCCAGAACGAAGTGCCTGCATCAAAGAAGGCGCTGTCTCTATGAGCAAAGCAGAATCTCAGTAGCACAAAGCAAACAGGAGATGCATGAAGCCAGAGCCATCTCCATCCCAAATGTTCAAATGGGCTATTTGTGCCTGACCTATGGTGGAGCCTTCTGAGCTCTTATTGGTTTGACCAGTCACAGATGGACACACTGTACCTTGACCCCAATATAGGGATGTCCTTTTGGTCCTCTTGAAGCACAAAGGATAACCACCTACCACCTTCCACATGTCATCTCTTCCATTAGAGTAGGAACTGGGAGACAGCAGGATGTCTCATTTGTATCCCCAACACTTACTTTTTCATTCATTCATTCTACTCCCATTCACTTGCTAATTCATTTAACAACCATTTGTTAAGCAGTTACTTTCTGCATTGCTTGTTTTAGGTGATAGAGGGATATAAAAAGATAATTAAGATCTTATCCTAATAAAGCTTACAATCTAATAGTAATAAATACAACTTAAAAGACTGTTAGCTAAAAGGGACCTTAGAGATCATCAGGCCCAACTCTCATTTTACATCAACTCTGATCTAACAGCTAGTACATGGTTTCTTCCCCTTATCCCACCCAGCCCACTGGTGTGGATGCCAACCGAGCCCCCCAAAGTCATCGCCCCATTCACACTGAATTCCTCCTCTTTTCTCCTCATTGTCCCTTTGTTCATGTGGTGCCCCCTTGGAACACTCTCTGACTTTGCCTTCTGATTATGTAAAGCTTTCTCACCATTCAAGACCCAGTCCTACTGTACACTAAGCCCTCTCTGATCACTCAGGTTTTTCCTCTTCCAGCGTCAAGGACTGTAGTTTAGTATCCCTTTGTCACTATTATAAATAATAAAATTTGTATGTATATTGCACTTTTCTCCATGAAAAGTCTTTCTTATTGTGGTGGGGACATGATTTGGATTTTCCTAAGCCATGCCAGTCTGACACCTCCTCTGACAAGGCCAACCAAAATGAAAAAGAATCAAGAATGGACCTAGTCAAAGACCCTGAATCTGCTGTCTAAGAGCCAGAAGAGCTAAGTTTGAAGGTGATCATCACAGCAGGGATTAATTTTTCAGCCACAGAAACTATTAAAAAACCTACTAAGATACAGAGGAACTGTGATATCAATCTAGAAAGTGCCCATGCTGACAAAATCATGGATTAACTTATTGAAGTACATAGTACTTTAAAGTTTACAAAGTGCTTTCCTCATAACTCTGTAAAGTAGGAAGTGTAAGTATTATTCCCATTTTACAGAGGAGGAAATTTAAGCTCAGAGAGGATACAAGAGCATATTCATGGTCACACAGTGTCAGAGCCAGTGTCAAATCCAGCCCTTTCCATTTCATGCTACACCAGTGATTCTTTACAACCAATCAATCAACAAGTACTTATGAAGCACCTACTATGTGCTGGGCCCTGGAAATAGAAAGAATGGAAAAATCACTGCCTGCAAGCAACTAATGGGGGAGATAAATACATAGAAAAAATATATAAGTCAAGCACAAATTAGTCAAACACAGTAGGTTTGAAGAGAGGACATTAGCGCTTAATAATAGCATTTATATAATGCTTTAAGGTTTACAAAACTTACAAATACGATCTTCACAGCCCTAGGAGATAAGTGCTATTATGATCCTCATTTTACAAATGAAGAAACTGAAGAAGACCCAGGGGTTAAATGATTTGCCCAGGGTCACACAGTTAGGAAGTGCCTGAGTTCACATTTGAACTCAGGTCTTTGTGACTCCAAGCCTGGTGATATATGCACTATGTTGCCACCTCACTGCATTTGGGGACGACCAGGAAAAGCTTTAAGCAGAAGATGGTACTTGAGCTTTGTCTTAAAAAAAGAGACTCTCAGGCAGAAGTAAGGAGTACATTCCAGGAATGCTACCCAGGGATGGGAGATGGGGTGTCATGTGCAAGAAGACAGAAAAGGTAAATCTGACCCAATGGCAGTTTAAGAGGGAGAGCAAAACTCAGTAACACCAATGAGTCAGAGGGTGGATCTAGGGTCTTAATGGTATATTTCTTCGCTATTTTCCAGTCTCTAGCTATGGTCTAGGCACCAAACATATGCTTCATAAATATCTGTCCAACTCCCTGAGCACCAAATGAATTCTTCTCTGATAAGATTCAGAATCTGCTTATCTCTAAAGACAAAAAATTCACTATGCCCTGGGGCACTGCATTACGTTGCCAGAGATGAGCTGAAATCTGTGATTCTATAACTTCCATCCATTGCTCAAAGTTATACTGAGTCCAAGAAATCTAATCCCAACCTTCAAATACTTAAGGCAGTCATCATGTTCCCTGCTAAATCTCTTATCCAAGTTAAATATCCTAGTGTTTAACTGATCATCAGGTGGTCTGGTGCACTGACTGCTGGTCTTAGAATCAAGAACATATTAGTTCAAATCCAGCCTCAGATAATTATTAGCTGTGTGGCTTCGGGCAAGTCACTTAACCGCTATGTGCCTCAGTTTCCTCATCTGTAAAACATGGATCATTTTACCTACCTCCTCCCTAGCACCTACCTTCCAGGGTTACCGTGAAGACCAAATGAAATATTTGTAAAGCATTTCACAAAACCTTAAAGTGCCATATAAGTGCTTGCTATTGTTATCATTATAATTATTATCCTAAGTCCTTAAACTTGGAGACAATAATAGGAAAAAGCAGGGAACTGAATCCATGATTATCATAACGGAGGAAGGCATCCAAAGTCATCTAGATGAATAAAAAAGGAATAAAGGTAATTCAGATGAAAGAACCATCTCCTCTAGGATAGCCCATGCAACAACCAGGGTAGTCTTAGGGGGTTTAAATTCTTCACTCCCTCCCAACCCTTCCAACAGGCACAGAAAATACCCAACAGTAACACCGAAGGTTTTTTCCCCAAGAGTTTATTATGAATCGATTTAAAAGCAGCACACTTTATACAAAAAGCCCACAAAACTATATACAGCCTCCAGTCAGAGGCAGCATCACAGCAGCCGAGGAATCCTAAGGTCTTGGTGGGCGCATTCCTGGGGGAGGGGGACCTATAAGGGAAACAAAGGAGTCCCATGAGAGAGACATAACAATTCACATTTCTAAGATGCTTTAAAGTTTACAAAGCATTTTCATCACAACAGCTCCAAGAGGTACGTAACAAAAATATTATTATTATCCCTTTTATACAGTGGAAGAAAATGAGGCTCAGAAAGGAAAAATTACTTGGTCCAGGGTCAGATACTTAATAAATATCTAATCCTTCCTGGAAGACAAAACCCATGGGTATGAAAGCAAAGGGGATTCAGAGCTCAGTGGAGCTATTAACCCTACCCACATAAGCAATGACAAGAAAATGGGTCTGACTAAAATCACTTCCAGGGAAGTCTGATCAACACATCTATGGTTTCAACTTATGTTCTGTTGTGCAGGCCCATAAATACCAGAGGCCTAGCTCCCAAGGAGAGAGCTCAGGCTGAAAAGAATAGTAGCAACAAAATCTACACTGACCATATCTGAGCTGCAAATGCAACTGTCCCACTCACCTCTCATTCCAGGAGGAGGGGGTCTCATGCCAGGAGGGGGCATCCCCATTGGTGCACCTCGACCAGGGGGCATCCCCATTGGGGGGCCCATGGGAGGTCTCATTCCAGGAGGAGGAGCCATCATGCCTACAACAAAGAAGTTCCAGAGAACAATTTAGTGTTGTATGAAAATTGTAAGGAGTAGCATGAAGGGGAAAAAGTGAAAGCCAGGTAACAAAAGGAGACAAGAGCTCTGCATACAGAGCCACGGTCTCCAGCTCCGTCATCCACTTGCTGGCTGTTCCTAGCTCAAAGATGACTCACACCCAGAAGCCAGGGCCCTTCTCCTAGGAAAGAGTATGACCTGAGCCCCTGGACAGTCATCCAGGCTGGACCTCAGAGTAATCCTGCTGAGTAATTCAAACTCCTCATCAGGTTCAGACACAGTTAGGTTTCATCACCAATCCAGCTGAGGCCTTAACCACCAACTAGTACAGCTTCTATCCAAGGACGCTTTACCTGGAGGAGGCGTCCCTCGGCTCACAGGTGGGGGAGGAGTTCCTCGGCCAGGGGGATACTGTGTTGGAGCTCCTGCAATACTGGCCGTGGCAGCAACTGCAGCAGCTGCTACAGTCCCTCTTGCCTGGGGGGTCATCACCTAAAAAGGTACAGAGGGTGGTGACAGTAAAACACAAATAAAAATACAAGCACTTATGAAGCACCTACTATATGCAGGGCACTGGAGGAGATACCAAGTCTAGAAAAAACATGACCCCTGCCTTCATCAAGCTTAGTCTGAGAATAAAATACCAATACAGATGGCTATAATAATATATAATTTAAACATTAGATGGGTATAAAACAAAGTGTTTGGGAAACCCAAAGAAGAAGGATCTATACACCCCTCCCCTCACAAATTGCAATAGACACGTATAAAAAGATACCTGAGAAGTTGATATTAACAAATGCAGGAGGGCAAAAAACCAGGAAAACAAGAAAGAGAACAGTGGAATAGCTGGTATGTTAGGAATGTAAAGCAGACATTCATCATCACCATTTCATATTTCTCTAATGCTTTAAGGCAAACATGGGATAAGACTAAAAGGAAGGATGGAGCCAGATGGTGCAGGGTCTTGAAACACCTGTCTAAAGACCATGAAACAACATGGCCAGAACCACACAATAATAAGACAGCCCTGGTAATCTGTAAAATGTGCTGGGGGGACCAGGGGCCGGCAAAACCACTAGGATGCTATTACCATACTTCAAGTCAAGAGATAACAAAAGCCTGAACTAGAGAGTAGCAATAGGAATAAAACAGAAGAAAAGGTAGAAGAGACATTTCAGACGTGGAACAGAAAGGATTTGGCAGCTAGTTAGATGTTGGGGGAAGGTGAAGGAGAGAGAATAATCAAAAATGACTCTGAAATTTCAAACCTAGGCGACTGAAAGGGGGTAGTGCCATTAACAGAAAAGTCAGATAAAACTGAAAAGGTTTTGCAAAAGTTAAAGCAATGCAGTATGAATTAGAACATTTTAGTTGGGGGAAAAAGCCTTTTAAACAAATTTCTCTAGGAAAAGTGTGGTATGTAAGACATAATGGTGAACTGATTCAAATGTATAAGAATGAGTTATTTTTTAATAAATAATGATCCAAGGAGAGGAAGAGGCAATTCTTAAAAGATAAGAGAGTAAACAATAACCATATGAAAAATGGCTCCAAATCACTAGCAATGAGAAAAGTGAAATAAAACAATTCTGAGAAGCCTCACTGTCCTCTCTCTGAGTAGAGAGCAGGCAGTTCGGTGGCGTCAGACCCCTTCAACCATAAGGTGGGAAGGTTGGAAAGACCACAACTTGCATCGAGAACAGAACTGACATACACAATGTGGGTGATTTTACACAATGACAGTTATGTGATGGCTTTGATAAAGAATACCAGTGTCTCCTTTTGGATGAAGACAGAGTAGTTGATGAGTTTGAAAATAAAATGAAAGAAAGTAGAGTTATTGTTAATTACCAGGTTGTAACTTCTTCCTCCAACTACGGTTTCATATAGTTTTTGTCCTTCAAACAGACAATTCCATATTAAAGCCTTGAAAACAGGAGATATGATATAAAGAAAGTACAGGACAATATTCAACGTGAAATTTTCCAAATCCTTTATGAAGAAGCCATGGCCTCTTGCAGAAATGAAATAAAGCACTAGTTGCCCAGCAATGAACCAGAAGAACTATAAAGATACAGAGACAGATCAGATAACAAAACGGATTGAGGAGTGGGTGAAAGACAGTAACTGAACCCTGAGGGCAAAACATGGACTTTCAAGACTTTCCACATGATAGTTACTGATTTTCTTGGTGATTTTTCTCTCCCCATGCAATAGAAATTAAGACAACATATACCAAAATTTACTAGCAATGACTGTATAGTAGAAGTAGGAGATGGACAATCTGTAAGGTTGAGCTATGGATTGATTTTTTTTTCCTCAATGAGAAAACTGAAAATCTCCAAATACAATGAATAAGCTATTAAGGACTTTTGAAGTTTAGGAAATACTCAGCATTCTCATTTAATTTGGCTAAATGTAAGAGTAAGTAAAATTGGCAAAATGGTTAGAAGTCTTTAAAACTTGACATGCAAAAGAAATGAAGGCTAGGAAGAACAGCCAACTTATAAATAAAAGAGAGACTAAGGATAAAGCTATAAACATCAAATTAAGTTTTCTATTGGTGATGAATTTCTGGTTTGTTTTTTAATATTGGAAGCTGGTTCCTGATTAGAATAGTCACAAAGTAAATGCTGAGATCTCTGAGAAAATAGGGTTTTTTTCCAGTACAAAGATTTACTGAGCTCTTTTGCCTGTAAAATTAATGCTGATCCTCATATTGATATCTGTCTCTGCAGAACAGCAAGCTAATCATGTTTTCCAAATATAGAAGGGAAATAGTAAAGTTGACTGCACCCATGGAAACTATAAATATTAATTTATTGGTTGATTAGTTTCAGTTCTCCTAAGTTTCATGAAAATTCATGTGATGTTTTGCTACTTTATAGGTGGTGGTAATTAGATGAAATGTTAAAATACAGTGATTGTGTATTAAAACAACAACTCTGAGGTTCCATCTCACAACTATCAGACTGGCAAAGAGGGCAAAAAAAGATAATGACAATTGCTGAAGAAGATGTGGAAGGACTGGCATATTCGATGACCTTCGAAATGATCCAGTCATTCTGGAAAGCAGTTTCAATCTACACCCCTAAAAGTCACTAAACCGTGCACAACCCTGACCAAGAGATATTCCTAGTAGGCACCTATCCCAAAGAGATCAAAGAAAAGAAAGATAATAGCATCCTAGTGGTTTTGCCGGCCCCTGGTCTCCTCAGCTCATTTTGCATATCACCAGAGTTGCGTGGTTCTGGCCACGTTGTTTCATGGTCTTTAGACTGCTGTTCAAGACCCCGTACCATCTGGCTCCATCCTTCCTTTCCAAATGCACAAAAACATTTAGGGCAGAACTTTTTGTTGTAACAAAGTGGGTCTTCATCAATTAGAGAATGGCTAAACAAACTGTGTTGTATGAATCTGAACGGGATGAATACAAATGGGATTATTATTATTCTAAGTATGAATGGGATTATTGGTCCACAAAAGTCATGAAAGGAACAGAATAAGAAAAATCTGGGAGGATTCATATGAACTAACATAGGGTGAAGTAAACAGAACCAGGAGAACAATGTTTACAACAATTAAAACAATGTAAAGGAAATCAACTGTGAAAGACTTAAGCACTATAATTACTGCAATGACCAACCACAACCCCAGTAGACCGATGAAGAATCATGCTCCCACCACTACAGGTAGATAAGAGGTTCAGAATCAGATATAACCAATATGCAGATTTGTTTTGCTTGACTTGTTTCACTTTACTGTTCCTTATATAAGGAAATGTTCATGTTTGTTGATATTTGTCAAGTTCATTATTTTAAAAAACTAAATTTTAAAAAGTAAGGAAAGCACTCGTGAAGGGAATTCATCTTCTATTTCTTTTACATACCCTCCAGAACCTAATACACAACTTCACTTCCAATGGGAAGACTTGGAGTCAGAACAAACTCATGCTCTACCTCACATGCTCACCATCTTGGTGCCTGCCTCCGAACCCTCTGCAGCAGAGACCAGGCCCGGGTCCCTCACCTTTGCAGGTCCAGAGCTGTACCACCGCGACTGCTGAGTACCTTGCCTGGCACACCACAGCCAGCTTTCACTTTTCACCTGGCCTCTTTCTGGCCTAATGCCTCAAGGATAGTACCCCCACCCCCCCACCATACCCCTAAGCTCTCCCACCTTTTGCCATGGCCACTCCCTTCTCAATCCATTCACCATCGCAGGAACTTCTACTCCCCTGTAGGTACAGTCTCCCCTCATTAAAATGAAAGCTCTTTGATGGCATAGACCGTCTCTTTTCTATTTGTATCCACAGTGTTTAGCCCAGTACTTAACATGTAGTAAACACTTAATAAACACTTTTTCAAAATTAATTTATCCTCTTTACTCAATGCTTATTGCTATGTGACATTGGGTAAAGCATTTAACCTCTCATCTGTAAAATGGTAATAATTTTATTTGCTTTGTCTATTAACTCACAAGGTAGTGGTAAAAAACCTAAAGTTTACAGAGATATGAACTATTATTAGAATTAGTGAAGAATTAATAGAATACGGGGCAGCTAGATGGTGCAGTGGATACAGCACCGGCCCTGGAGTCAGGAGGACCTGAATTCAAATCTGACTAGACACTTGACACTTACTAGCTGCGTGACTCTGGGCAAGTCACTTAACCCCACTGCCTAGCAAAAACAAACAAAAAAAAAGGATATAAAGAATTAATAGAATACTACCACCTGGAACTCCATAAATAATTGACCAGTTCTCTGCTAGGAATACCAGTCAGCAACTGGGGGATTCTGAACTTTGAAGCACAGGGATTCAAGTCAATTCAACATTTATTAAATACTTACTACCTCTGATTTCTCACTCTCCTTGACCCTTCAAATCAATCAGCTGCCAAAGTAAACTGCCTCAGGAGTCAAGTCTGACACTGTTACTACTCTATTCAAAACTCCAGTGGCTCTCTATTGGCCTTCAGGATCAAAGATAAATAAACTGTTTCTCATTTAAGCCCTTCATAATCAGGCCCCAAACTCCCTTGATTTAAATAAACGCTTACGTTACTTACTTTCCCCTTCACGTATGCCACAACCTAGCCAAACTAGCCTTCTGAAAGTTCTTGACATAAGACACTCCATGCTTCTTTCTTTTCCCATGCCTGAAATTCACTCCCACCTTACCTCTGCCTCTTAGAATCCTTTATTTCCTTCAAGACTCAGCTCATGTACTGACCAGCTCCTACTGCCTTCCCTCCCCAAATTACTTTTTACTTATTTTATATGTATTCATATATACTAACTTATGTATCCATCATCACACCTGATAGAATGTAAGCTTATGGCCAGGGACTATTTCATTTTTGTCTTTGTATCCCCAGGCCCTTGGATAATGCCTGGCATGTAATGTGTACTTAATAAATGCTTGCTGCGGAGAACTGAGATGTACAGACATTTTACCTTCACAACTACCCTGGGAGGTAGATGATATTGTAATCAGCACGTTACAGATGAGGAAAGTGAGGAGGACAGCTTAAGTGACTTGCCCAGAGTTACACAGCTAGGGTCAAAGGCAGAATTTGAACTCATATCTGCAAGTCTAGCATTCAATCCACTGCAATACCTAGCCACAAAAGCTCAATAGGTAAGTGGTCAAAAGATCTGGACAAAAAACAAAAATAAAAGGTCTTAAAAAACCGGAAAATATTAACCACCATAGGAAAGAACGCTCCACAACTAATAATAACAAAGGAAAACCAAATCAAAACAATTCTGAAGTTCCATCTCACAACTAGCAAATTAGCAAAGATAACAAAAGATGGAAATTGGAGTAGTGGAAAGGTAGGCAGGCACACTAAAGCAGCACTGGTGGATTTGTGAATTTGCCCAACCATTTTGGAAAGTGATTTGGAATTATGTAGAAGAAAGTGACTAAAATGTCTTCAACCACTAGGCATCTACCACAAGAATGTAAATGATAAAACAGGCACCACATGCACTAAAATACATACAGCAGTGCATGGTAGGTGCTTAATACATACTTGTCAACTTGAATACAAAGTAAATGCTCAAATGATTGAGGTACTGCTAGATGTAGTATATGAATAGAATATGATTGTGCTGCAAGAAATGACTATAATTAAGCAAGGGAAGATTTATATGAACTGATACAAAGTGAAGTAAGCAGAGCCAGGAAAATAATATACACATTAACCACAACATAAAGGAAAAGAACAACAAAACCTCTGCAACTGGTGAAATTATAGTGACCAAGTTTGGTCTTAAAAGAAGAGCTGTGTGGGGGCAGCTAGGTGGCACAGTGGACAGAGCCCTGGAGTCAGGAGGACCTGAGTTCAAATTTGACTTCAGACACTTAGTAGCTAGCTGTGTGACTCTGGGCAAGTCACTTAACCCCTATTGCCTCAAAAAAAAAAAAGCTGTGAGAAAGCACCTCCTTTCCTTCTTGGCAAAGATGGGGGACTGTAGGCTTGGAACATCACAGGGAATGTGAGACTTTTTTGATGCTCTGGCTAGTTTTACTCAACATTTTTTTCCTCTTTTTTATTCTGTTATAAGGGATGGCTCTCTGGGAGGAGGAGAGCAAAGGATATATTCAGCAATGTTAGGTGATATAAGAGTAAAAGATATCAATAAAAATGTTTAAAATAAGAACAAAAATAAATACCCTTTGATTGATTGAAAATTCACCTGCACCCCACCGAATATTAAATGAAATACAACACAGATCCTACTCTCATAAAGTTTATAATCCAATGGAGGATTATTCACACTCCTCATTCATTAAGTACTTATTGTGTACAATAAATCCTAGGGAGAAAGCGGGGTAAGTGAGAAGTGGAGAGGGGAGATATCACCAGGGTTTTGCTCTACTCGGGAAGCCTGGATTGTTACCTACAGCATTCCAAGAAAAAGGTTCAAATGCTGTCCTGAATACCTGGTTGTACTCTCCAGGAATATACTCTGGGATTTAAGGCCTTAACACACCTGCTATTGATGGAACCTATCCTTTAGATGATTCCCAATATCCATGCCCTGACTTTATTTCCCCTGACAAAATGAGCCCCTTACACATTGTAGGCATTTAATAAGAGCTTATTTATCTACTGATGGAAGATGCCATGGTCACCCAGCTCCTCACCTGTTGGGAAGGCCCACCAACTCCCCGGACAGGTCCTGCTAAGCCTGCAGGAGCCTGGGGCATAGGAACACCAGCTGGCACACCTCTGCCTGCAGCCCTGCCAATCCCAGGGCCTCCTGCAGCTCCAGCTAACGGCACACGGGCAATGCCTGTCTGAAAAAAGAAAAACATAAGAAGTCATTTATGGGGAAGCAAAGACTAAATATGACCATATTTTGCAGGCAGGCTAGCAACTAAAGCTCAATACTTAGTGCAGGAACACAAAATGTCACTAGCCCCTCGCAAACCACAAACACCACTTCCCATGCTCATAGCCTGCTGTCAATACCCAAATATGCAACAACAGCAAAAAGTTTATAAACCATAGTTCACACGCTTATATTAATATTCATGAAAGGATATTATCAAAATGGAACATAAGCCTTGGCTTATGCAGCATTTTATCAACCAAAATCCTCCATTAGCCAGCATTTCTCCATGAGCTCCTTAAATGCTCTCAGGATCATTATAAAACAAGAAAAACATGGAGGGGAAAGAGTTACATTGACCTGAAACTTGCCTCTCTGCCACTGCTCCTCCTGGTCCTGCCTTTTAGACCTAAACAGAATAAATCGAATGGCTGTTGCCCAAGATAGTCCCATTGCAATGTGTGAAGACAACATCATACAAATGGGAAAAGGACCCACATGTACAAAAATATTCATAGCAGCTCTTTTTGTGGTGACAAAGAATTGGAAATTGAGAGGATGCCCACCAATTGGGGAATGGCTGAACAGGTTATGGCATATGAATGTAATGGAATACTATTGTGCTATAAGAAATGATAAACAGGCTGACTTCAGAAAAACCTGGAAAGACTTGTATGGTCTGATGCTGAGTGAAATGAGCAGAACCAAAAGAATGTTGTACACAATAACAGCCATGTTGTGTGATGACTAATATTGATAAACTTAACCCTTCCCAGCAATATAAGGATCTAAGACATCTCCAAAGGCTTCGTGATGGAAAATGCTATCCACATCCAAAAAAAGAACTATGGAGTTTGAATGCAGATCAAAGAATACTATTTGCTATTTTTTTTTTCCTTCTGTTGAGTTTTGTTTCCTCTTTCTGGTGGTTCCTCCTATTGGTTCTAATTCTTACTTACAACATCACTAATGTAAAAATAGGAATGTACATGTATAGCCTATATCAGATTGTGTACCATTTTGGGGAGGGTGGTGGGGAGGAAGGGGGAGAAAAATTTTAAACTCAAAAGCATATGGAAGTGATTACTGATAAATCAAAATAAATTAATAAAATCAAATAAAAAATAAATAAATAAACATATCTTTAAATTCAAAAAACAGACAAACAACTGCATTTCCCAAACTCTGATCTATGAAATCCTAATGTTCCAAACAATACAAAGAAGGATTCAAGGATAAAATTTCAACACTAGTGACAATTTTCCCCTATGAAATATCATACGTATCAAACATATATACTACATACAGTAATTTTCCAGCATGAAAAAAACATTTTTTTCTCCAATTTTGCTACAAAATTTCATTAAGACACCTTTATTCATTTGGAAATATAGGTTGGCATTAATGGATTCCATCAATATATAGAAAGACAGACAGAGAGATAGATAGAGAGATAGAGAGATAGAGAGATAGATAGATAGATAGATAGATAGATAGATAGATAGATAGATAGATA